GTGAAGCGCCCTGCCATCTGGCCCGCGCCGCGCTCCGGGGGGATGCCCCTGCGCCCCGACGAGCAGCGGCTGAGCCCACCTGGGCGAGGGGCTGCCCTGCGCCCCAGCGCAGATCGCCTCCCAGCCGCCCGAGGGTGCCAAAAAGTTTGTACTTGTTAGCGACGACCTCCCGCCGGGCCGGGCCGGGCGATGCGGGCGGCGCGGGAGGCCCCCTCCCCTGGCCCGCGTCTCCGGGACGGCTGCGGGCGGCCCCCCCAGCGGCCGGAGGGCTCCCCAGCTCCACGCTGACGGCGGCGGCTGCCCCAGCGGCAGCGCGAGCGGCGCTGGGACCCGGCCCCCCGGCCCTCGCCCCCACCCAGCCCCAGCCTACAAGGGGGGCAGGCGGAGTGCCGGAGGGTGGCGGTTCTCAGCCTCTCTCGCCCGGGTCTGCGCTCCGGGAAGCGGCTCCGAGCCGGGGTAAGGCGGCCGGGGAGGGGCGCGGGGGAGACGCTGCAGCTTTGCCAGCCTGCTTTCATTTTTAAAGGGCTTCAGTGACCATGCAGGCTTTCCTGGGGCCAGGAGCCACTTAAAGCAGCCCCGCCAAGGATCAGATGTAAAAGTTATTTGGTGGCTGTTACAAGAGGAGGCTGGAACCGCCCGGAGAGGGGTGTGTGAGTGTGCGTTTGTAACAGCTTCAAAAAAGGAGTAGTTTATCTTCCTGGCTGGCTTTACCCTCGACCCCTGGGTCTTCTTCCATCTTTTCAGGGGGAGGGGGTGGTGTTGCGTGCTGGGGATTTCAGTTGCAAGACAGCTGGGTGCATTCTGTTTGTCAGATGGAAATTAACCCTTGCCTTGGCTCTAGTCTCCCCCACCCCAATTTTCTCGCTCCCATCTCGAGCCATCCCGGGTGGCAGCCCTCCGCAAACGAGAATGCACGAGTTGCAGTGAGAAACTCTTAGCCAGCAGAGGCTGCAAACTTCTCACAGTGCCGGGGAGGGGGAGGGAGGGGGCGGGGGCCGGCCAGGGGAGGGACGCGCACGGGGTGGGGGGTGCGGTCGAACCTGGACCTGAGAGGAGCGCGGATAGGGGGGAGGACAGCGTGAAGGCGGGAAGAGGAAGAGGACCCGAGGCTCGCGGGGTCTCATTGCTCCCGAGTAAGTTGCCTGCTCGGGCTTTGGGGGAAAAGGGGCAGAGGGTCTGTCGCTAAAGGCAACCGCGCGAGGAAAAAGGAGGCAACTAATTGTCCGGCACCCTGCTCTGTGTCTTCTCATTAGGGGAGGCGTTGCCAAATGAGGGGCACCCTCGGTGCGGGCTGGGACATTACTAAAGGCGTGATTATTAATTGCTCTGCTGGCTTGCGTACAACTTTGGAAAAAGCAAAGAGCAGCGGCGGGCTTGCCCAGCACCTCGCTGCGCAATGCACGCGCTTTGTAGCCGGCCGGAGGCGCGGCTTCCGTCTCCGTCCCGGCGGCTGCGGCCCAGAACTGACCCGGCCGGCTGACCCGCGGAGACCCGTCCTCGCGAAGCCGGGTACCCGGAGGGGGCTTCTACCCACGCCACGTCTCCCGCGCTCAACTTTCTCAGGCTCGCTGCTGCCCTTCTCGTCTTACCCGCCTCTAACAGGGCGTGGGGGGCTTCAGGCGGTGGTTCTGGTGCAGGAAGTACGCGGGCCACTGGAGTAGGGGTGCCCACTCTGGACCAGCGGTGGGCGCTGAGCCCTTTCAGAAACTGGTCAACGGCGGGGAGGGGGGAGAGCAGGAAGGTGACAGGATCCCGTGTGGGATCCTTTGTCCTTCTTCGTCCCCCGGGACTTGCCCCCCCCCCCGCAGCATATTTTCCTCCCCTTCATCGTCCTTGTTGGGGAGAAAGGAGGAGCCACGGGGCGGTGTGGGTTCCCCTACATGCCCCCAGGCCTGCCTAGGGTCTCCGGAGGCCCCGCGACGGCGCCCGCCGCGGCCAGTGTCCCACATGGCGAGGGCGCAGCCGGCAACTCGGAGAGGCGCTTGCTAGCGAGTCTGGCCAGCTCCAAGAGGCGCTAATTCAATAAGACAGCGAAATCTGAGTTCAGAAATCCTGATAAAATCTAATTTTCGGGTTTTAATACCCTGACTATCAGCCCCCCTCGGTTCCTGAGGACTCTTAAAAGAAAATAAAGCGCATTGATTCTGTTTATTTCTGGGAACTGCAGTTTCTTAATAATATCAGGTGAAGATTTATTTTCCAGGGAGAAAACATCCACCAGGATACAACCTCTTACGTGGAAATTTCTCCCGCTGCCTCCCCACTCGGCTTTCCGACTCCTTATTCCGGGACTTTTGCGTCGTCGTCTCCCCCTCCCCCCACTTTTTTATTTTCTTTTGGCACAACCCAACTCTAATATTACCATGCTGATTCCCCTGACGATGCCAGCAACGCCGAATTGATTGACTGGTTGTAAATATATTTTTTTCCCCACCCGCTAGCAGATTTTGTTGTTGGTCCCCCCCTCCCTTCTTCCTTTCCATTTTCAAGGGAATGTGTGGCATTTAAGCCAACACAACCGCAAAGCAAATAGATTTGCGTGGCGCGCGCCTCGTCCCGGGCCTTCTCGGCCTCACCGCCTCCACGCCCCGCGCGCGACCCGCCGCTCCCCCGCCGGAGCCTTCTCGGGTCCTGTGGATGGAGAGGCCGGCGGCCGGGTCCTGCTGCAGCCGCAGCCAGCGCCCCAGTGTCCCCGGGCGGCAGGGGCTCCCTACCTGTTAGCGCACAGTTGGGAGTTCGCGCTTGGAAGAATTAAATAGCAACGTGCTGTTTTTCTGGGCAGCACAGAACTCTGAGTAGTGCCATCCAAACCTTTGCCGGCCACGCTATTTTATTTTTACTACATTTTTCCCCAGACTGTAAAAATAGACGCCAGGCGGGTTCTTTCGGAGAGTTTTCTAGCAAAAGAGCGCATTCAAGGCCCGGCAGGCTCTCAAAACAGATTTCTCTTTGAGCCACCAGAGGTGAGATGTGAAAACGTGGTCCCCGTCGAATCCTCATTCATCTCCATCAGGAGCCCTTCATCCAGATGGAGGGCGCGGGGCCTCCTTAATGCAGATGTATGACTCTCTAGGCTGGGGGGACGGGGTCAGCGCGGGGAGGGGAGAGCTCCTCCCAGGGGTGAGGTGGGCCGCAGGCCAGCCCTGGCCTGGCGAGTCCGCCCCGCAGGTTTGTCATCTGGGCCTGGCGTTTGCTTGTGACTGAGAATGGGATGAGGTTTGTGGAGACGTGGTTAATTCTTCAGGGAGATTTCATTTACAATGGCTGGACAGGATGTCAGCCTGAGGTTCTTCACTTCCCGGGGAGGGTTTGGAAATTTAAATGTAATGATCACAGGCATAATAGCAGGATAATTCATAACATGGGTGCCTGGGCTGTGATTCCTCACAATCGCCTTTGCCCACTCTGGCAAGTGTCGCTGGCCAGGATCCCACGCTGGCCTTGGACTTGAGTGAAGTATCAAGTGTCAGGGAGCATCACACTAGTAGACTCATGCTGTTTGACAAAATAACATTCATATTAGTTCTATCAACTTGGGGTTTTTAATCACTTCCGGTTGCATAAAATAGGAAAACAACAATCATAATGGTGATCCACTTGCAAGCACAGCCTCTAAGGATGATTGCAAATTTTTAGCCTCAGTCAAGAAAAATGAGGAAAATATTGTCACTCTTGTGAATACCTCTGATATCCCTGCTTTCTTCTGATGGAAAAGAAAAATTAAATTTTTCATTTCTGGTTGTGCCTGTGGTTGGGGAGTTATTTATCTGCACCTGGTCCTTAATTGTTGGCCTCCCATCGTTACAGTCTCTTTTCTGTCCTTAACAGCTTTGACATTTTGACTGGCCCATCGTGGTGTTTTAAAGCAACTATTCGATCTTGGCTCCTGGGGCTGTTTTAGGAAATCTCTGACCCCAAAAGAGAGGCATGTCTGCAGGCCCCAGTACCCCCCTCCCCACACATGACAAGAAAACCCATCACTTTTTAAGAATCATATGCTCTATCTCCAAATGTGCAACTCCAATATTAATAAATATAACCCAGTTTTCTCGGGAGACCTTGCTAATGCAACCTCATTTTTTTTGCACATTTTGCTGGAAAGCTTTTGTTCTTATACATCTTTAATTCACCACCCCCGTTTGTGTTTTGTGTTTTTTTTTTTTAATTTGTTGCAGGTGTTGTTGCTAATGAGCTCTCTCTCCCCTCTTACAATGAAAGACAAGCCTGGATGGATTGAGAGCTGAAGCCCCAGAAACTTCATAATAAGTTGCCAGCCAAGGTCAGCAGGCCCCCATTAGTGCCTGTCCCCACCAAAGTGGAGCCAAATAACCCTCTCCACAGTTAATGCCTTGGTAGTAGTTTTATTTTTCAGTCCAGTCGTAAGATTGTTGTTACTTTCAACCCATATGAAAAGAAATCTCTTTTATTGGTCTGAGACGCCAAGTCTGGTCTTAGAGAGGGACATGTTTCCTGCTAACATGGGCGCCTCTTGATTTTATTTTATCTTTACAACACAGGCCTGAGGGTTGCATTGCCGTTGTCTCTCGCACAGCACACATTAAGGGCCCTTTAAAGACCTGGATTGATTGGAGGGACAAAAATTAAAAGCAACCTGATCCGGCCTCCTGCCATATCCCTGCGGATTTTCTCCCTCTCCCATTTCCATCCACTGTCACAATTTGAGAGTCTGCCTGATTTGATCAGCTTCACCTCTGAGAGAGATGGAGTGCCAAGGTTAGGAGGACACTAAGTTATGGGCGACTTTCTGATCTGCCCATCAGCAGTCTGAGAAACGCTGGCTCTGAATTTTCCACATTATCCTTTTGGAAAAAACAAGTTCGTGGCTGTTTGCAAACCCATCATGCTCAAATCCCTGGGACTTCCCAGCCACCATTGCCCTGTAGATGTGGCATTTCCATGCTGAGGCTGCGAGTCCCACCTGACCCCATCGCTGCCTCCCCCTGGCCTTGCTGGGCCCCACCCCTATGGACTTTGCAGCCATGCTGCGCCTGCTGGCATTCCTCCTGCACTGCCTTCCACTGGCCTATGGGGACTATGACATCTGCAAATCTTGGGTGACCACGGATGAGGGCCCCACGTGGGAATTCTACGCCTGCCAGCCCAAGGTGATGCGCCTGAAGGACTACGTCAAGGTGAAGGTGGATCCCTTGGGCATCACATGTGGAGACCCCCCTGAGAGGTTCTGCTCCCACGTAAGTCAACCCATCGATGGTCTGTTGGCTCAGGCCATGGGTTAGGGAGGCTGGGATGGAATGTGGGGGTGGACGAACAGAGCGGGAGGGTCTAAGATGCAAAGTTGACTTGGACTGAGATCAGAGATTTTTGTCCCATCTGGGAACTGTGCCAATGTAAAGGCCACCCCAAAGGGTTCTGGGATTGTGCTGTTGTCCTCTGGGACAGGGACATTCTTGGCCAAGTGACCATCAACCATCAGGAAGACGGTGGTAATCTTATTTCTTTATCCTTGAGTCTAAGCCCAACCATCCTTGGTGGGCAGCAAGCTCTTCTGGTGAGCAATTGCTCTCCAGCCACCCTTGGTTTAACCATTTCATGGCACAACTTCATACTCCATCTAGTCCAATCCAACAAATAATCTTTTGAAGCCAGTGTGCCCTCAGCACCGAGCTGGCACTCTGAAGTGGAAGGCTTAATGGAAGCACAGAGGCTAGTAGTCATCAGGGAGGAAGATGAGGATCAAGCCAGAGTGGGAAGTGAGGCTGGGCCCCTTTCCAGTTCCATCTCTGACACTACCACCCCTATCACTGGACAAGCTTAGACATCCCACTGGAGAGGCCCTCACTGTCACTTTAGTCCCCAAATTATACTAGGATAGTGTAGCTTGAGTAACTAAGTCATGTGAATAGCAATGACAATAACAGCAGGGATCGTTTAATGTGAGCGCCATCCATGTGTTGGGACTAAGAAGAGCTTGATACATGTTATTCTGTTGAGTTCTTACCTTAACTCAGCCAACATAATTCCATGTTATATCAAATATGGGGTAGGTTCTTGGAAAAGTGCATATCTAGGCCTTTCTGTTCCCTCACTTGTAAAATGGGGACACTAATAGTGCACACTTAGGGGGTCATTAAAGTGCTCAGTATAGGGGCTGGCACACAGCAAGTGTCCTGCAAGTGTGTTAGCTGTTGTCATTCCCTTCTTACAGATGGAGAAACAGAGGCAGTAGTCATGAAGGCATTTGCCCAAGGTCACACACTAGGAAGTAGTGGAGCTGTGATTCAAGTTTAGTGTGTCTGGTTCAGAAGTCACTAAGCTAAACTGCTTCATGGGCTGCCTTGTTTCTCAGGCATTGCAGCCTCATTCTCGGGCGTTGCAGCCTGACTCTCAGGCATTGCTGCTGAGGCTCTCAGGCATTGCCTTGCTCTCCGACATTACTGCCTCATTCTCAGGTGTTGCTGCCTTGCTCTCAGGCATTGCTGCCTCACTCTTCGGGCATGCTACAGAGGCTCTGTGCCTGGCAGGAAGACGGGCAGGGTAACCAGGCTATGGGAGCTGATGGGGAGGGGCATGCTGGTCGATGGCACTCTGCTCTGTCCTCGGAGAAAACTCCATGTCTCTGGGTTTCAGGGGGAGGGACTGAAACACTGCTCCGCCTGTAGACTCCTGAGGGCTCCCCAGTCTCATGGGACCACTTCAGCACAGCAGAGCAGTCAGTCCAGGAGGGTATGTGCTACTGGGACTTATCAGCAGAGATAAGGCTGTCACTGTGGATGTTGGCTGGGCTGCTAGGAAGCCACCTAGGGAGAGGAAGAAGGGGAGGGACAGCACAGGGCTGGGAGCCCAGGACTCCATCTTCTATGGGGACCCCTGTACTGGAAAGGGTAGATTAAGGAAGGGGGAAAGACTGAAGGTTAGAGGAAAGCCCAGGGTGGGAGCCCAACTGTGATAGCTCTCAGGGCAACTGGCCTCTCCATACCCTTCCAGGAATGGTCAGAGTTCTACTAATCTTATTTAAAAGTCTTGACTGAATTTTTATCTTAACTAGTAAGCATTATTACCTTTTTTCAGTATTCAGCAGGGACATGGGGGAGCAGCTAAGTAGGAATCTACCCATGCCAACTTCAAGACAAGGCCTTGAGAAGTAGAGGTACAGGTCCAAGGTGCTGTCCTGGCTACATCCTACTCTGGATGCCCTTGACCCTGAACCTGCCCTGCCCCCATCCTCAGAGCACAGGCTGGTGTCCTTGGAGCCCTGGAGTCTGGAAGGAGCTCCCTTCCTCCCACCTGAAAAGATAGGTGAGGAGGGTAGGGGAGGAAGAACAGCATCTTCTGTTTGGTAGGTCCTCAGCATCTCACCACCTGTTTGATGGACTTAAATATTTCATCATGGGCTGCCATCCAGCCCTCCTTTGATTACAAATGCACAGCTGATAAGGATGGGAATGCTTCCTTGGCAGGTGGAGGGCAGCCTTCTGGGGGCCTGGCTGCCACAGGGAAGAGAGAGTCATATCCTGATGGACCTGGGTTCAAACCCTGGTGCCACGATTTATTGCAGCTGCCCCTTGAGCAGGTCCTTATGTGCATCTTGTTGAATCACCTTACAATGTTCTGAGGTTGGCCCTATGCTAATCCCATTCTAGGGATTAAAAAGGCTTGGCTAAGTCCTACCAAGGTCACTCAGTGTGAGATGCAGCAAAGCCAGATAGGGAATTTGTGTGCGGCAGAGACCAGGGCTTACCTCATGCCTGCCTACTAGGCTGCCTTGCCTTCCCTCTGGCAGTACCTGACTTCTCTGAGTCAGTGTCTTCATCTGTGAGATAGAGATGCTCGTGTCCCACTTCTGACAGGAGGCTGCAGCCTCGCCCTTGCGAGCGCGTCCTGGGCACCGCCAGGGCTGGTCCATCTCAGGTGCTCAAGATATACCAGCTGTTATTCCTTTATCATAGTTCTTATTCTTCTCAGTGGCTTCCTGGTTTTCCTTCTTCCCTGAGCTTTTCCTCCCTCCAGCCTTTCGGACACCACGCCCTGTGTTTTTAGTCTCAGGGCAGCTGGCTGGCTGTACGTGCTCAGAAAGCTTTAACTCCTCCAGCCACGTCCTAGCACGAGGCTGGCTGGCCACCAGGGGGCGTGCCCATGGCAGCCAGCCCCCTCACTGTCCCCTCAGCCTTGCCACCGTCCCATCCTCCTCTCTGTCCCCCCTGACCCTGCTGGAAGCTCTTCCCAAGGTCTCTAACACCAGCAGACACTGGCTTGTCCCTGAAGCCAGTCAGACCATGAGCCCAAAGGACCCCGAGCACAAAAGAGGGACAAAGGGGTGGCTGCTCTTTTCAGGACTCAGGATGCGACCCTCTCTCTTTCCTCAGGCCGGTCACAAGGCCTCCAGAAGGAAGGCCACCTGAGAACTGAATTGTAAATTCCAACCTGCTGAGGAAGGGGAGGGGAGTGAAGACAAGATAAATGAATAAATAAAACCCTATTGGCTCAAAATGCACAGTGAGAATTAATAGGGATGAGTTCTCATGCAAAGATTCTTGGGCAAGGGCAAAATCTCAATGAGGACTGTGGGAGAGATGTTGCACCCCCTCCTCCTGGGGGTTACAGGACCTGGTGTCCTGGAGAGCTACAAGGCCAAAGGGGAGGGGAGGAAGGTGGTACCAGCAAAGTCGATGGGTAACTGCAGCTCCAAGGACCCCCGTGACTGGGCACCAGGGGGGAGCAGCTGCACACTTCCCTGTAAGAGAGGTCACCCCCCAGCTACCTGAGCTGCACATGAAAGGAAATACAAGCCTTTTCCTCCTGGTTCTGAGACACAAGCTAACCACTGAGGCTCCAATGAGAGGTGGCGAGGAAGGAGAGACTCCCACAGTCACAGACCAGGAGTGACTGTCTAGAGTCAGCTTAGAGCATCGACTTCCCTCCTTACAGGATCCCTGGCCCCACCCCAGAGCTGCTGAGCCAGAATCCACATGCTAACAGGAAATCCCTGTGCACAGTGTGGTCTGAGAAAGCAGCTTGGCATAGATGTTCCGTGATGGTGACAGCTGTCGTTGATGAAGGGCCAGGAGGCTGTGGTTCCCATGGGATAGTGGCAGGTTAAAGGCAGAGTCGCTGCTGAGGGAAGAAAGGTGGAGGGCAGCAGGGGCTCAGAAGACCCTAGGAATAAAGGAATGGAGCTGAGGCCTGAGGCCAGCCAAGGTGCCAGAAAAATCACAGTGATATGTTGGCAGGAGCCCCTGGCCTAGAATCTGAATTGACATCTCAGCTTTGCCACATGTGGGCTGGTGATTTGGGGTAAGTTGCTAAATTCTCTGGGCCTCAGTTTCCCTCTGTAAAGGGGCTGTGGAGTCCTGCCCACCCCACCATTTCCGGGAGCAGGAAGTACCTCTCTTAAAACATCTGAAAGTACTTTTTTAAAAGTATCGGCTGTGGTCTAGTGGGGCCTTAATATTGCCATTTTCCAATGTCCTTGATGTATTCATGTTGAAATAGGTAAGGATAATATGTTCTATGTAATGGATATGATAGGATACAGAGGAGCCTTACTATGAATAGACAGGAAAATTAAGAGAAAGTCACAAAGGTTTATCTTTGAACGTTCACTTCTTACCTGATTAGAAGCTCTCAGTGGGCAGCTCTGGTGACCTAGTCCATGGGGAGTTGCACTACTAACCAAACCATCTCTAGTGTTTCGAATCCACCAGGTGCACAGGGGAAGAGAGATGAGTTGGTTCTGACTTGACAGCAATAAGTTACTTTTTTGGTTTTTTAACCCACTCTGTGCCTCCCTTTACCCAGCTGTGGAGCAAATGGCTTCATACCTCCCTCTGAGACCAGTGTGGGCTGATTAATTCTAGAGAGTCCATTGAACATCGTGTGCAGAATCAAGGTCATGGTGCCCTGCCTCCAGCCAGACCTCAGTGTTCAGAAGAGGTTTCCAACCAGCAGTGCAGAGCAATGCACCCACTGGCTCAGACTTCCTTCTCACCCTGGTACCCGAACCCCAAACCCATAGAGAGAGTGCTTGGAGCACCCACTGGGGCTCCTGACTCTCCACTCCCCACCCGCCCTTCAGCAGACAGACACTTCCAGGGTCTGACTCCATGCCAACTGTGGCCTCTGCTGCAAGGAGCTTGGTAGTTGTGCCAGGAAAGTGAGATGATTTGGAAATATTTGCAGAAAAAGAAAAATGAGAAATGCGACAGATGTTAAAGACCAAAGTCAGCTACCAAGA